AAATTCCTTGGGCCAGTACAAACCCATCCGCCAGGCCGCGGCTGACCTGGCAACCAATTCAGTCCGCAATCAAGTCTATGAGGGCGCGCGTCGACGCGGCTTGTTCGATCGGCGCAAGCGCCTCACCTGCTCAGGGCGACCGCAAGGGCAAGCCTCCGCCCGCGCCAATCTGCCGCACGGCCCCCTTTTCCACCTGCTCGCTTGGGCGCGACAGGCAACAGGCAGGTCTAGAATCTTGACGTGAGTCAGCGGCCGTCACTACTCGGTCGAAAGTACTGCAGCCCCCCGGGGAAGCGGGCAGGCTGACAGACAGCGCGCCAGGACGCCCGGCGGCGGTTTTCTGGCCGTGGGATTCCGCTGGACTGAAAGCGCCCAGCAGCATGGGCCTTATGGCGTTGGAGCTGCTTGACAGGCCCTGATAAACGCACCCACGCGCGCCGCGGATCGCGCGGCGGGGTTGCCGGGCGCGAGCCGGGCACCCTGGACGCCCAGCGTGGCCTCTTCATGCCAAGCGCGTTTGATCCCACCCAACCACCCGCCCCCGGCCCATCGACCGCCAACGTCCGTCCGGGAAAATCAATGATCTGCGCGAGGCCCGTCAGCTCGCGCGTTCACCGCGCGCGTTGGAGTCGACATTGCGCGCAGGAATGGCGGTGCCCGGCTCACGTACCCCTTGCCCCCCCGGCGTGGCCCCTCGGACGACCGCGTCCTCCCCTTCCGCGCGCCCCACGCCTGTGCCCAGTCCTTCATGCGCATCCTCCCCAAGAACCACGCCAACACACCCGCGCCCTGCCATCCGCCCAACGGCCCCGGATCGGCCGGACAGGCGCCGTCTCTCAAACCCGCAAGATCTTCGCCCACAAGCCGGCACCACTTCCCGCCCATCAAACCCCCGCGGCGCGTTTTGAGGCCGCTTCACCCATTTGCACCAACAAGCGGCCCAGGCCGCGATTCATTGACTTCTCCCCTCCTCCGCCTCCGGCCCCTCGCTGGATCTAATGAAAAGACCACCGCGCCCAACCGCCCCAAGCCAAGGTCAAGTCCCCCGGGCGCCATCCATTGCACATGCGCGCCGCAGTAATCCCGTGAGCCGGCCAGATACGACGCAGTCGTACGCGCTGTTCTGCTCCGGGATTCAGATCCCCCCCGGTCCACCCCAGTCGAAGCCAAGGCCATTGTTGGCCTCATCGACCGCAGACTTGACTAAGGAACCCCCTTGCCTTCCAAATCGGAGGAAAATTCGCCCACCTTGGGGCGATAAGGCCTGGCCGGGGACGCGGACGCGGGGCCCGTCGCGCCAGGAGACGAACTCCCGGGATCCGCCAGACGAACGGAAGAGGAGAAGGGCGCCCGTCGAGTAGAGTGGGGCGCGCGGAAGTGCGGTCGGAGTCGGTTGCGGTGCGGTTTCGTCTTCGCCCTGTGCCGGCGGGGATGGGCGCTCGACGAGGTTGGGCGCCTGCTGGCGCGGGGGTGCCGAATCGCGGTTCGCCTTTGGGGGTGATGGGAGGGAGATGGGCGACGGAGCGTAAAGTACTGGGGGCGGCGGGGATGGGTTGATGGGGTTGAGGGACTGGCGATTGGCGAGGGGGCTGGGAGTTGACCCCTCGGAGGAATTCCGCTCGGGTTTTGAGCGGTGGTGGGTTGGTTTCGTGCGAGGTTGCCGCCGCCGCCGGGCGCCAGTGCGGGATAAAAACTCTGCGATCGACCAAGCCACCACGCAGGACATGCGGGAGGCCAAGGGGCGTTCGAGCCGTTGGAATCTCGTGTGCTCGGGTGCGTTAGCCAACGCAAAAAAAGGATCAAATAACGCTTTGGCAAACACACGTAAAACGCATTTCGTCAAAGTTCTGCACGCTAACAACACAAAAATGCCCCGAACCCGTAAACTTTGTACACGTTTGAACGTGTGTTATTTGGCCCTTTTTTTCCTAGTGTGGCACATGCATGGCATCTGGAGCAGTGAGGCCGCAAAGCAGTGCTTGCTCTGAGATCACGGCGAGGCATGACGTCCAGATATGGATGCCAGGCGAGGGGTTCTGTTGCAAAAGCTGATCAGAACCGAGCATGTGTCCCGCACCGGTGAAAATGGCGCCAAGCACACTATATTGGGGTCACAACACTTGAGCCCACGGGAATGTGTTGTGAACTGCTGATCTAAGTTTTTTAACGGTACATCGCTGCTTGAATGTGAAACAAAAACTTTGCGACTCCGGCAAACATTTGTGAGAGCGAGGGAGATGGACGCAACTGCCCTTGCACCTTTGCGACGATGACGGAGCAATGCGCCTGCTGCAGACGGAAGTATGCCACTGCAGCAGCGACTATTCTATCAAGCGGCCTCGCGTCCAGCTCTCAGACATCCCAGTGTGCATGCCGTGGCAGCTGCAGCTCCCATTTCTTCCTTCACTGATTGATCCACCGCACGATCGCGGATCCTCTTGGCAGACGGATTGAGCCTGTCGCCCGCTTTTTTGACATCGCTGCGCCGTCCCCTTGACGAAGCAGCCCTGGCAAGCACGTGATGTCCTCTCTCACAACGTCCAACAAGTTTCCACAGCACGCAGCTACCATGTTGATCCGCTGACGCATCTTGGCTTGCCTTGCTTGTGTTGTGTGCTCATCCTTACGCATCGGAGGCTTTGTGGCATCTTTTCACAATATGGAAAAGAACTTTGCGGGCATTGTCCTAGGAGGAGGCTTTTTTTTCTTCTTTTTGCGTTTGCATTTTGCATTTGCATTTTTGCACGCAAAAACGTAAATTTGCAAAAGGGGCTATTTTTACGGCCGTATTTACGTTCTTGCGGCTCGCTGGGACACCTGGGTTACACGATGGAAGTCGCGCACAATGATCAGTCCTCCGCCCTCTGGAGCATATGCAACATAGCGCCCACCCGGCCCTCGCCAAGGGCAACGACGTCGCCGAACAAGACTTTGTTCTCTTCCCAATCCAGCCCTCCTGGATGCTGCGCCCCGGACTTTGTAAGTTTATGTGTACTGTCTTTATGTGCACGGGCGAGTATTCACGTTATATTGAAGTATGTTTACGCCATTTTACAGCTTTCAAAGCACCGTTCTCGTCGCTGCAGCGCAGTGGGTGCTTTCTGGTGCCCAACCCCAGATGGCGCGCCTGCACTTTCACCAGCCTACCGGACGCACTGCACACGCCAACGTACACAAGTGAGACTGCGGCATCGAAATAAGATTGAGATGACGCCTTGTCTGCTGCCAGAAGGCGAGGCTCACTGTGCTGACAGCAGAATTGACATGTCAAAATTGCAGAATGAAATTGCGCGAAAGAACAAGTCTTCGCCACTGGCACAGTACGACATTCCAGATGGTTTCCCAACGGGCTTTGGTGGGTGGGCATTCCCTCTGGGAATTCCTGAAGCGACGCTTCAGGACAGGAATTCTTGTCTGGAAGAGCGGTACAATACAGTGCAGTAAGTACCAAATCTTGTTCCATTTTTCCCAGAACACTGTTATGGCAGGCATGCGCACGGCATGCTGGGCACCACTCGATGCGAAATCTACTCGTTGCTTTTTCAGACGGTGGGGATGCACTCGGTATTCCAGCTGTAGTTTGCATCCCAACCAATATTAGAAATCATATCGCAGCTGTTAAGTTAGCTGTGTGCGGACGATAAGCGCAGGGGTGCGGGGGGGAATTGTGGGGGAGTGTGAGTGTGGGCGCGTAGGCATGCACAATGTTTGACAGCAGTGCGTTGCTGGGTCTTCATTCAGAACAGGTTCCAGAGCCCACTTCCGTGGGGCAATCTGACATAATATCTTCGTGATTTTGCGTGCTGTCAAGAGCTTCTGGATGAAAGGAAACGAAGAGACATTGCTCAACAAACTCGCAGATGGAATTGTGCCTATTCAGATGCAAGGGCGGCGCTCTGTCATTCTGGCCAATTGCAAATCGAAGGGACCGCAGGCCGCCGTTGCGGAGCAATAATCCATGAAGGGCAACCATCGGCACCTGCGTGCTGTGCCGATCAGCAGTTGAAGGGGCATGTGACTGTGAACTTTGCCCCTGTCCACCAAAGCCAGGACCATACCAGCATCGCCTTCCAAGTGCAAGAGCAGGAATTGAAAATTTTTGGCAGTGCAGAATAATGGGGTTGTCTCCACTACCTCCACGGCCCTACACTCCCTAAATGTACACTATTTAAAGGTACAGTGGAAATCGAATCCAAATTTGGAGGTCACTGAAATGGGCCCCGCTGCAACATGTCCTGTGCAGATTCAGCTTACCCTGCGGAGATCAATGCACAAGACACCATTGTACGGCAGCTGGCCACGCCAACAAGTCAGCGCAAATGAAGGGCATTTCATGCAGATCCTTTACAGTACCAAACACTCACAAAAAATCGTCCTTGCTCGATACAAATACAAAACAATCCGCAAATTCAAAAAGTATCTCCTCCTCACTAGCAACAGCTACACAAATACACCAAGAATTCTCTTATCTGTGACCACTTGCTCCACCAGTGCATCGCCCCATGAATGCACCTGGAACATATTGTAGAAGCAACTATAACCGTCATCACCCACTTTTGTAGGCAAATTCAACCCAGACTTGGGGCACACATAATGGACCCACATGCTGCCATGTCACGCCACACCGCCCATGCTGCTGCCGACAACCAACCTGCCAACTGCTAGCGGGTCAATCCCCAACACCCAGATTCAGCAAGCACAGAAACTGCTGTCAGGCCAGGGAGGGCCCAAAATCGGCTGATGGCGCTCATGTTAGACGAGCTCCATGAATCCTCAGGAGCTTGTCCATTAATGCTCTGGGACAATACAGAGCATGTTGTTGAGTGGCTCTTTCTGCCAGGTTGGTGACTGGGTTGTCGATCTTGTGGAATGCAGTCAAATGGGTCAATGCAGTCAAATTTCACTGAGCCAGGTACTTGAGGGTGCCCCAAATTGATATATCCAGTTACTGAGGGTGCCCCACACCACCACACGCTCAATGTGATGCTGGATTCAACTGTTCACTGCTGCTGCTTTCCCTTCAGCAGAGACTTGAACTCACGCACAGGATCCAATTTCAGGTCCCGCACCAATTGACCCGTCACGATGTCAAGGTTAGGGTCTTCGATGTCAGCAGGAGGAGGCTGAGGTTGCATTGGAGCAGCCTCTGTTGGAATGCCCTCTGGTGTGGAGCTGGACGGCCGCCGGGGGGGCTCTTCCTGCAACAAGCGCATCTGCAGTCTATCGATCCAGCTCAACTGAGTCATCGAGCCATCTACTCTCCTCAGCAGATCCAGCAGCTCCTCGTATTTTGGCTCCCGGGGCTGGGTGCATATTAGATCGATCAGCCCCGATGACCGGACGAGATGAACCTGGGCGACAGAGTCGAGCAGCGTGGACAGTGTCAATGCAACATATGGGTGAGCAAAGGCACCAAACCGATTGATGTGATTGGTCTGATTGACTTGCACGTTGACTGAAGGTTGTCACACATCCTCTGCCAGATGACAGCTCAAGTACGACGCCTCAAGGCAGTGAGATACCACAATTGGATGCTATGGAGCACTGTGGCATTGCACAAAGCGCCACAAGATGTTTAGGACCTTTGAAATTCCACAGACATTGCCAGACAAGGTGACAATGAAAATGCATAAAAAGAATGACACAGGCAATCATGCACAATCTGTCAAGGTATACAGTAACACTGTTGCGTTGGCAATAGCACCTAGCCACCCAGGTACAATTCAGGATGGCACCACCAAATCAACAGTATCCCCAACAAAACATAGCCAATCGTTCATTGTTTAATGTGCACCCTGCCAAATGCAACAAAGCTACTCGTGCTGAGCAGGCATGAACGCACACTGGTGTGAATCCAAGATGCAGGCTCCCTGCCACAGTCTACTGCCAACGTCGGCTACTTTCTAGCTCAGCTGTGTAGCTTTATACGTGCGAAAACTCAGGCCAACTGCCATAAGAAAACAAGCACAGGAAACAGCATCCCTCAGACCCGTTTTCAGCACTCGACAGCAGCGATCTCAGCTAACCTGCCAGTCTCCTGGGTAGCAACGCAACAACAGCACCCGATCGTTGAATATGTTGATCTCCTTTTGAAAGAAAACTTTCTCAAACGAATCCACGAATTCCTCCCGCAGCTTCCTCTGTGCGCCAAAGCCGAAGTCTGACACCACCTGACCAGGCTGCCATTGCGGGTTGATCATCATCACCAACCTCTCGCCACCACAGCCTCTGTCTAGTCTCCTGATTCGGTCAACAGTATCCGACACAGGAAACAGCACAGCTGCAAGCTTCTTGCTCTCCCAGCACCCTTTGATTGAAACAGCTGAACGTCAACCTGTGCATCGGACTACCAGCACTACCAGGCAGGACAATCAATCCACAATGTGGTACCAATCCTTGGTGTCAACATGCCATGGATTCGCAAGCGTCTGAAGACTTGGCTACACGTGGAGACTGCGACAAGATAGGGCTGAATGCTGTGTAAGTGAGTGATTCCAGCTGGCGTAATGCAGATAACCTGCACTTCCCCATAAATGCTACGGAACATAACAGTGAATGAAAAGATCTACATGTTCCTTGCAAGACCTCAGTCCAGACAGCAGCAGAGCGGCGTTCAAGATTCCATGTGTTGCACCTACCAACAGCATCCCCCTCATCAAGAACCTGGGCCTCCAGGCGCCCTTCCAAGCCTTGCTGCCGCTTCAGGTCCATCAGGATGGACTCCACGAGGGGTGTCACAGCGCGGAACTGCTGCTGGATGCCCCCAGGCCACCCCAGCGGCCCCACAGGGTCTCCAATTTTCAGCATAGAGACCTGGAGCTCAAGCCTTTGGCGTCGAACACCAGCCTTCCATGCTCGCAGACATGCTTGCACAGCCTCGTAGCGAATGGCATCAGCCTTCAAAAGCACAGGAGAAGGTTCGCACACAGCCAGGTAAAAAAGCTGACGGCCACTGCATCACAGCATTGTTGCAAGACATTGAACTACAATACATCCAAAGAGAATTGAGTCTGTAGCTAACCTTGAGGGGGACAGGGTATGCCTTGGCCATTTGCTTGGCTTGTTGCATTGCTGCAGGCTGGAGCACGAGTGGTTGCTGAGGGAATTCTGACGGGCTTGTTGGCTCAGGTATGCGTTGCCGTTCCTCTCCTTGCTGTGCGGAGCTGCCTGCCACCATTGGCGGTGCTCTCTGTTCCTCTTTCTCTGCTTTGAGAGCCTTCAACTTTGGGCACGTTCTGACATTGTGGCCGGGTTCTTGACAGAAGCTGCAGCGATATGTTGTGGAAGCTGCAGGGGCAATGGCCCTGGAACAAGAAAACAACACTATCCCACATGAATACACCATCCGCTGGACTTGGGAATTTTGAGGCGAAAAGGAGTGTTGTTGCTTCAAGCGGTTCAAATGGCCTAAACAATGGGAAGTTGAACACAGTGCTGTTCACATATTTTTTCACACTTGCATGCATGCCCACATGGTGTTAAGTGTGCTGATGTGAAACCGTGCCGCAATGCTGTAAACGTCATGTGCACATTTTTGTGTGAACATCCATGTGCCAACAACAACTGGCCGCAAGATACCAGTGGCTTACACACAATACAGCTGCTCATACGTGGTGCTGTGACAAGAAAGAGCATTTGCAGTCCACGCCCAACCAAATCCAGTATCGAAGCTAAGACGTTGTTTATTGCAGTTTCTGGTAGACCTGATGAGCCTCTTATGCATCCCAATGCGTGCCCTATTGTACCACACCTGTGGGAAACCACTTTCTCGCTTGCCAAGCGTGGTCCCCAGGGAACTTTCACTGCACCCACCTGGGACAGGTCCTCTTGTTGTGGCCCGCCTCCCCACACAGTGAACATGTGACACTTGTCTGCCGTGCGGGCTTCATGCCCTCCCTTCGCTTCTTCCACATCCTACGCATGCTCTGTGCGATCTTAGTCCTGTGCTCAGTGGATCTCCTGTACCTGTTCCTGCCACGCATGGCCACACTGATCTTGGCCCGATGCATATCTGGTAGGGCCATCCCCCTGCGTCTACCCCGCCTCTTTCCGCTCTCTCCCCTATGGCTGGGTATGTCTATGTCTCCAATGTCCCCATATTCTTCATCAAGCATTTCGTCCAGCACGTCGAAATCGATGTCCTCCAAGCGAATGAGCTCTGGCATGCCCTCCAGACGTTGCAGCACCCTCTCATCCCCAATCAGGCTTCTCAGATCGATTATTTCATTTTTTCCCTCGACTTTCTTGGAGCGCGATGGACTTCCTGCACTCCAAGTGGAAGCTCCAATGCTATCACCATCTTTCAATCCACTGGGCTCGCTGGTGCTTGAATAAGCTGCCAGCACCTGTGGATCTTGGTCGGATGTCGATGTGGTGTCCCCTACCTGTCCTCCCACCACCTCTACACTACGACTAAATGCAGCATCAACTTCAGTGGGTGCCTCTACTTTCGCCTTTCCCAAGCACCCGCCTGTCTTGACAAACCCCCGATCCAAACGAACCTGTTGGTCGTGAAACAACCTGCTTGACTGGCAGGATGCCAGCCTGCTTTTGAGTGCACACCAACAAATGCACCGAGATCTACGAACCTGCACCACAATACCAGCGACACAGTCAATCCAGGCCAACATCCACAGCACCAACGTCATCATTTTGCAACCAGAATGAGCAAACTGTGGGCTGTGGGGTGGCAGTGCTCATTCTGTTTAATTGCCATAGTAGGGATTTCTCCCATCCAAGCTTATCCCAGAAACACATTCGTTTTGCAGTTGCCGATGATTTTGAACAATTGACAACAACGCCAAAGTACCGCCCAGAGTCCATGTTGCATGGGCCACTTCTTTTCTGGTGCTATGATTGCAATTGCAGCCGTGGATTGTGCTTGATTTCGGTCGTGTTGTCTCAGGTGACCATTACAAGAGCCCTTTGGTAGTTTCAGAACATGTCCAAAAGGCAATGTTCTCGCCACCCTCTAACCTTGATTCCAGGGCGTGTGCTGCTGAACTCATATTCTGCCCTTCTGTCATAGCCTTGATAACACAAGGGCAGTGCTCTTCCCATTCTTGAAAACACTCGAAGCAGTGATAGAGCTCCGCAGCTCGCGTCGTCCCCAAACGCACACCCCATGGCTACAGTACAACTCTCAGTCACACCCTCGACCACCAGGATCTCATACGTCCCAACGCGCCCATACACAAGTGCAGGTGCTCCACGTGGTACCCTGTCGACTGTGCCCCAGCCCCAAGCATGCTGCACCGCAACCGTCCACGCCACCTGCAGTCGACCGCTCTTCCCGGCCAATAAACCCCACACAGACCCCGCCCGACGCTCGACCAGCAAACACAACCAGCCAGTGAGCGTCGCGCCACTAGAGAACTGCCCCCACTCCCGACCGACGGCACCCCTTTACTGCAGAAGGCGCGCGCGCGGCCGCGAGACCCCCCCCGATGAAAAGACAGCGAACTGGGTTTCGCTTCCGAGAGCAGGCACCCCCCGCTGGTTCCAACCCATCTCGCCAAGCCCGTGCAGGGGGCGCGCACCGACTGCTGGACGCCGCGGCGCATCAGCAGCAGCCGATCAGGCCGCGGCGCCGCGTTGGTGGATCCGCAGGCGTCTCCCACGCCCTGCAGCGGCATCTCCCCCGGGCGGGTGCCACGGCGGATCCTCCCGACCCCGCTGCTCCGCGCCTCGCAGCCTCCCCAGACGCGCGCAAGGCACCGCACACGGTCTACACGGCGGTCCTCGCAGCATGGGCCTGGCCTTCCAGGCGCAGGGCCTTGCACACGGACCGGCCACACGCTGTGTGTTCCCGCATTGCAGCGAGGGCGCACAACCCCAAACCGCCATTCGCTGCCTTCCGGCGTGTGAGGAGCTGGTCTGACATCAGCCAAAAGTGCACGAAAAAGCCCAGCGACACGGCGCGTCGATAATTGCGGCTTTCGCGGAGCGCGCTTGTGTAGGGACGGCGAGGCCAGGCGGTGGGCGGGGGGCTGCGGGAGGCGAAAGGAGGTCGCCGAGCCGTCGCTGCCGCTGCGTTTGGCGCGTGGCCTTGCGTGCGGGGTCGCCGCATGGACGCTGGCCCTGGACGCGGACGCGCCCAGCTCGAGGGCGTCGCGTGAGGAAACGCCCAGACCGCCGGGCAAGGAATCGCCAGCGGGGAGCGATCTCTCTGGCAAGAACGGGCGATGGAGCTGTGCCCGCGATGGGATATGTTCTGTGCCGACGCGCCGCACGACGGTGATTGACCGATGCCCTCTAACATTTGGCAGTCTGAGTGTTGGGAACGGGTTGGGGCGCATCGCAGGGCACAAGGCCACCCGCGCGGGCGGCGGTGGTTTGCTGCGATCGACGTCTGTCCTCGGATCGGCCATTGACCGGCTGCACCCGGCCTTGCCACAGATAGCGAATGGCGAGGGATGCGTTTGCGGCGTCGCCGTGGGCGGCCCGCTTCGTCGTGCAACGGCTTGAATCCCGTCGACCCGGACGTCCCAAAGGCGCCGGCATCGGACCCGGAAGGACGGGCAGCATGTGCGGACACCTGGCCCGCCATCGACTCACGTCCTGCTCCCCCTCACATCTGCAAGAACGCGCTCCGTGTGAGTCTGGCGCTTGGTTGAAGCCGGAAGGTCGGCCCCTTGAGCCGCTCCGAGCGGCTATGGGCATGCTTCCCGGGCCCGTCGCGGCTTGGTCGTTGGCGTACCTCAAGCCTGGGGTCCTGGCGGCGACCGCGTGGGCTTCATGCAAGCTGTGCCTGGCGTGCGCTGCCGTGGGGTACCTGACGGACTCGAATAGGCTGCCGGCATCCGCTCCCAAAGTCTTGAGCCAGGTCGCATTCAAGCTTCTCATACCGTGCATGCTCTTCACGAAAGTGGTGACCGCGCTGGCGCTGAATCCTGAGGTACAGTGCTGGCTCTCCAATCCTGCGGCAGGCCCCTGATGCTGCTCTCATCGCTTGACAGACAAAGATTGTCACATGTGCGTCTTGCAGCGCTGGGCCCAGCGTCTTTTGTTTTTGACTGTGAAACGCTGGATTATGTTCAAAAGGCGAGGTGCCACCCTCTTCCCAATGGGTGAGATGGGGCCCTTTTGGGGTGTAGCAAGTTCAATGGGATTCACCCAGAAAGACTGAACGAACCATGAAGAACGCAGTGACTTGAAACAGTCAAAGTACTGTACTTCACTTTCGAGGGCGCTGTTGTTGTTGCTGTTGTATGCACTGTACTGGTAACAAGTTTGCATGTATCATTACTGTTGTGAAGCCAAAATTATGGATGTAAACTTGCTCATCACCACCCTGCAAGTGCAAAGGGAGGTGCAAAGGGAGTACCTTGTCATGTCTTGAGCGAATAGCATCAACCAGATTGTCAGGGCCACTCATACAGGCAATGGTCGCATCTGTAGATGATGTTCTGGCAACATTTGGTGCAAAAAGTCAGGTGCTGTGCATAATCAGTGCATCCAAAGATCAACACAGTACTTGCATGATGTAAAGAAGGGGAGCACACATGCAGATGACGGGAGCAATGGGCACTGAATTGGGATCAGAACGCCAGATAATGCTGGCTAGCCATGGGGGCATTGGGCTGGCGAGGGTGCATAATGGCACATTGCAGGGCACAGTTGTCATAGTTGTTCTGTCCACTCTTGTGCTAACACAGGTCCACTGTGCTTTGAGCGATCCAGCAACAAGGGCCACGCATAACATTTGGGGTCAGAACATGATGATATCACCCTCCATTGCCTTGAAACATGGTTGGGCATTGATTTCTTCAGCTTTGGGCAACTGCTGCAGACCACATCGCCCATTCGTTTTGGTAGCACAGCCAAATCTTTCCCTGATGCCAGAGATGTGCCTCGCATGTTAGTAGAGTGCTCTCCACCCTGCAAGAGTTTCAAGGAGTGAAAGAAGTTCCCAGCCATGTCCCCGCAGCTTCATTGGTTGTCAATGATGACACAAGTGAACTAGTCTGCCTTTGCCAGGAATACCAGCAGGCTACACAGCAGCTTGAATTCCCAAGTATATGGCCAGGCCAAAAACTGTGTCAAGGATTCGAAGGTAGCTGAAGCTGGCATGGGCTTAAGTACCTGTGTGACAGTGGTTCGAAATGTAGCCACTTGCCGCAGCAAGCATTTTCAGCATAGGCCAGGGTATAGCCAGGACAGATGATTCTGGTTTTCATTCCTATTTCAACTAGGCACCAAAGTATCTCATTGCTTGCAAGGGCACTGTTGGCCATCCAGCTTGCTTGTCCGCAGTGTCAAGGTAGTGGATCATGTTTGGAATTTGACCCTGGTGGCATACACTGTCACATGCAGTGCCGAGAATCGTAATTGCCAAGATTGCTGGCGAAGCAGATGCCACTTTAGCTCTTTGTGGATAGCACTCTGTTTGGCATCAATTCTGCAAACAAGGTCGACTCAACATGCAGGGCAGTGACACATGGCATTGCAACAGGATCGAAAACAGTGCTCATTAGTTCACAGCAGTTGCAAGTGTTTTAACAGGGTCACGACAGTTGCATAGTGACACAGCCCTTTGTAGTTCTTGGCCGCCACACAGCCTCAGCAGTTGCTGGCAGTGACACTCTGTGGCATGCTGACTGGACCCTTTGCATGACACCAGGCACCACTCCTCTTTATCCCAGCTTCAGCAGCTGTGCTTGCAGCCGTTGGGCTGGGGTTTGGGCTCCTTGCTGGTGCCATACTCGAGCGTGGGGTCTTCTTCTTCCGGACTGCCCCAATGCTCCGGCCCATTAAGCCTGCGCGATCAGCAGAGTCTATTGCAGCCACAACAGCAGCAGCGTTTGGAAATCCTGCGGTGCGGGATCCGAATCTACAATTGTGCGGCACGAATAGGTTGCGCATCTATTTTCTGCATTCAATTTCTTGCAGATGCAAATTGTTGAATAGCTGTTGCCAATGCAGAGGTGTGAATCATCACTGCCCTGGTTGGACACTGGGCATCGCTACTGCTATGCTGCAGACAGCAGCAATGTTCGTTGTGTTCAAAGTGCTGACAGTCATCAGCATGTTGCCCTTCAAGGGTGTCACAATGACGTCCCTTGCCACTTGTGCTTGTTTTCAGGCAGCTCTTGTGCTCGTCCAAAAGCCACAGCTACCACCACAAGGCCTGACTGAGATGCTTGTTGCTGCATGTGGTTTTGGTGAGTGCATCTTTAACCATGGGCTGGGCACTACCCAGACCCTTTATTCCAGTCTCCATCTGGTTGCTTGCAGTGCATCAGCAGCCAACTGTCTCCAGTGCAGCTTGTTCATTGTGACTGAGGTAGGGTGTGCCTATCCCTGCTGCCAATGAAGCCGCTTGTGATTTGCTGTTGTGCTTTCTGCAGGTGATTCATTCACACTTCCCCTTGTCTTCATGCTTGCGCTTCTTCCAGCTGCCCTTGCAGATTCTGCCACTGCCTATGTTGCGCTGTTTTTGCTGGGTTGGTCTCCCTGTTTCTGGAGTATTGGGTTCGCTATGCTGACCTACCTACGGGGGCGGGAGAGGAATGGGTCAGGTATGAACATATGCTTGCTCGTTTTACTCCACCCCTTTCCACATATTTGCCAATACAATCCAGAGTTTGCCTGCTGCGGCTTTATGGCGATATTGAATATTTGCTGCTGCAATACATGGTTGGGTTGAGGAAGCCAGCATCCTTGTATTGAAATTTACTGAACTTCTGCACTCGCTGTCCACGAGTTGGAGCTTACATTCTGGTGCAGATAGGCACACAGATGTGCACATAACTGTTTCTGATGGGTGGCATTGCATTAGCTCTGGATGACTGTGTGTTGTTCCAAAGCATGCGCTACACAATGCATGTCAACCATCTATGATTCGCTGCTGTTGCCATCCACGGAGTTTATCAGCTGGGTGCAGTGCCAAAGGATTCCCTCCTTTGCCCCTTTTGGTTGCTTTTTGCACACAGGTTTCTGAACACGCTCATTTGTGGTGCAGACTCCCTTCGAGTAGCTTCCCCATTTGACGCATCGCTGGTGCCTGCCGCCAACCCAAGAGTAGGGCGAATGTACACAAAGGCACGACAGCGGGGCCCTGTCCTTGATACGGGCATGGGCTCCCGGGGAACACAGATGGGTGCCCCCTCCACGCCAAAGGCCCGATTGGTAGATGCCATCCAATCCTGTCAGGCCTTCCTCAGAGAGTTTGCGTCGAGGGTGGTGAACCCGCCCTTGATAGCGATTTTGGCGGCAGTCGCGGTTGGGCTGTCCCCTCTGGGCAAGGTGCTGTGCCTCCCGGCAGGCCATCCTGAGGTTGCACAGTGGGGTGGGCATGGCTTGGGCGCCATGGTTAGCAGCAGACAAGTTTTGGGTGTCCTGCAAGTGATGTGGGATGGCTTGTGTGTGCTGGGAAGCTCAGCATTGGTGGTGCAGACGATTGTATTGGCAACATCGATACTCCAGGCCAAGGACAACACTGCAACAGCTGCAAGGGGTAATGCCACTTTGTTTTTGGCAACACTGCTTTCTTGTGCTAGTGATTCCAGCTTGGAACTCGAGTTCATGTGTTGTCAGGCTCGATTGGGAGTGCATTCTGGCCAATGAGAGCTGTCAGCTGCTTTATGCCAATGTCCTCACAATCAAAGTGCATGCATCAATGCTGCAACGGCCCAGTTCTTTCGAGAGCTAAAGTGGTGCCCCCATTGTAACAGAAAGATCCACGTGCCATCTGCTTGGACAGGTTGGAACTTGAGCTCTTAAGCAAAATATCAGTTCAGGAAACCTCTCCATTTGCATTGTGCAGCTCCAGCCCTTGCAAGGCCAACAAGCTGACTGTGGAGCATATTCCACTGTCACGTACAGCAGCAGGCTCACAACAGGATATCCGCAAAACGACGTGGTTGTTATAGTTGTTTTCTGGATTCTAATATATTTATGTCACATTCCAGAGTTCAGGTGCCACCTGCCCCATTGGAAGAACTGAGGGCCTTCTGCCACCTATGCAGGAAGTTTAAGGCAAAGTTAGCACCAAGGTTGTTTGCACCTGAAGTGAATGCTCAGTCTCAAAGACGGGAGTTCATAACTATGTGGTGACATTGCTGTTGTTTTTGTTGTTGTTGTTGTAACTTGTATTGCAGGAATTTGCAACACTTGAGGTTTTGGTGCACATGCTTCCATTGCAGGCCTGCTAACCTGGTAAATATGTTGTGCACACCCTGGAGCTGATCAACGGGGTGCTCTTCCACCCTCAGTCGCCCCCATGCTGCAGAGTACCCTCAAACATGCTGGCTATTGCCCCCTCCCCAACGAAGTGTCCTGTCCAACCCAAGTGCAGTCTTGCAAGCCCAAAATATTATTGGGCCAAAATGTGCCTCTCCACATATGGATGCCCTGCTTGAGTGTAGATCTCAAGGCTCAGCCTCCCAACACCTGCAAATTTTCACCATGTTGATGAATATGAAGCATGCTGCCAGAATATGTCTAAATAAAGTACAGCGTGGGCAGTGCTTTCTATTTGAAGATACAGCTTCTCACCCTTGTTTAAAGTTGCAGAATGCTTGCACCACTTCAACTGTCGCAGGGGCAATTCACTTTGGAGTCGATCGCATTCCTCTAGTAAGACAAAACAGGCCCTCTTGCGGGTCCGCTGCATTCAGAGTCCAGTTGTACCAAGTTTGTGACCACAGTCTGCCATCTGGCAGCATGTGTTCGCCTTGCCTGCCATCGTCACCTGCATCTTGTGTTGGCACCTGTGGGTGGAAAACTGGAGTCATGATGGTGTGAAATAATGGTTGTGGGTGATATGAACACCCGCCTGCTGTCTTGAGTTTTCGCGCTGCATTGAGAGAATTCTACATCTTCTAGCACACAGTTATGTAACCACCGAAACTCGCTCATCGTCTTGCACACAGTGCCACAGAGTCCCACTTTGTTGCTGAAGAATGGGGTACCCATTACACACCATATCTCTTTGCCTTGTTCCTGTGAATCCCTTGTGCGCCTGCCAATTCCAAATGCGCTAGCCCATACCATGCCGGCTGGGTTTCTTACTTCTCATTTTGGTCCCAGGACAGTGGCTTGTCGGTGTACTGGTCGTCATAACAAATGCGGATGTGCCCTGCTTGAAGTCTTCCCCTGATTCCTGTGATTCTGCTCTGTTGCGACAGGACAACTCCGTGTTGAACCAGTGCAGAAGGGTTGGAGACGTCTGCTGCTCCCAGCAGACGCCCTTGAGTCCCGAGCGCTGCTGCTGGTCAGCATCGTGCGGCTCTTTGTGATGCCACTTGTGGGACTGGCGGCAGCATGGACTCTCTCTGTTTGGGGTTTGCTTCCTCAGGACCCCATCTGCTGCCTAGCGGTTCTCCTCCAGTGTGTTATGCCGTCGGCACAGAATTTGGTGAGCGCTGGTCTTGGTATCAGCTTTCGGTGGTGCTGATCAGATAGGAAAGTTAAATGATGTGTCTCAGCAGGGGCCACAGCATCTGTAGTACTGCACAACAGAGAG